TATCCGTGGTTGATATTGCTCTGCAGGTTTTGTCAGGCGCTCAAAAAATATAGTAATATACTTAGGTATATAGACGTATCAAGATCTTGCTAGCAAAAAAAACTTTGCATGTTATTTTGTCCGAATGCATAGTTCATGAAAAATGGGAGGATGAATGCCTACGTAGGTATCAGAATGGCCATCGCGCGCCATATGAAACATACTAAACGCATCAAAACTTTCTTTTAACACAAAAAAGGAGTTACACAAAAGTTGTTAAGGTTGATGGGACGCTTCTGCTAGCGAACAGACAACGAAGGTTTGCAGCACCTGATGTAGACCATCAGGTGCACCATAAGGTGCCCGGATGAACTTTAGGAAATACAGATATGACTCTAGAGCAAAAGTTGTTCAGCTTGATAGGACGCTTCTGCTGGTGAAAAGATATCGAAGGTTTGGATTACCTCATGTAGACCATCAAGTGCACCAACAGGAGCCCAGCTAAACTATAAGAGATACAGATATAACTCCAAAACAAAAGTTGTTCAGGTTGATGGGACGCTTCTGCTGGCGAAAAGACAACGAAAGTTTGCAGTACCTTATGTAGACTATCAGGTGCACCAACTGGAGCCCAGCTAAACTATAGGAAATACAGATGTTACTCCAAAGCCAAAGTTGTTCAGGTTGATAGGACGCTTCTGCTAGCGAATAGACAACGAAGGTTTGGAGTACCTTATGTAGACCACCAGGTGCGCCAACAGGAGCTCAGCTAAACTATAAGCTTAACGCTTCTGCTGCCAAATAGACAACGAAGGTTTCGTACCTGATGTAGACCACCAGGTGCACCACCAGTTGCCCAGCTGAAATATAGGAGATACAAATATGAATTCAAAGCAAAAGTTGTTCAGCATGATGGAATGCTTCTGCTGGCATCTGTTGGCAATGCAACTATGGTTTGAAAAATGTTTTTCCTACAATATTTGCCTGATAATTATCTAAAGCGTGACGATTTTTAGGATGCTGGTAAGGAAATCAGAATTTTGAACAGGTTTAAGGAATGAAACGATACGAAGTTCGCGGGTACCAGCTAGTATTAAATATTTTTTTGACGCTGTTGTTGTTTAGAGAGTGCCCATACAAGTACTTTCGTCTAAACAACTTTGAGATTGAACGAATTTCGGCCGATATACAGGGTGATTGGAAATTCGATGCATTCCCTGAAGGTGGTTAGAGGGGGGGCCATTTCCAACATATTCTTCCATGGAACCAGGGGTCGGAAATGATTGGTTACAAAATTATTAGGACTTTTGATTTTTTAAAGAAAATTTCCCGATTTCAACTTTAAAAGTCATGCGAAAGCTAGCCAAACCGTTTTATGCATAGTTTTTTGACATGATCTCATAGTGAATGAATAGGACAATCATTTTAGTTACAAGTTTAGTTAGAAATACTCTTCTTTTTTAAAATACAGCGCCAAAACAAGAAAATATTTTGGTGGAAAGGGATTTTTTTTCAACATTCATAGTAATCTACTGTAAAAAATCACTATGGAATAATCCGTAAAAACTTCATAACAGAGTTCTCTGTTGCATTAGCTAACCAAAAGGTACAATAATCTACAATCAAACATGTTTTCATAAAATAATTAGCATTAATGCAAAAAGCGGCGTGCGAAACAAGGCAATTGACTATGGTCGGTCGACTACGCCAATGTAAGCAAATTCTGTTTAGACTACTTTTTCAAGTATTTTCGTTGTCTTATGGATGGAGCATTCGCCTCAGGATTCTGTGGTTCCTAATTCGTTTCCCGTGATTTGACCTACAAGGTTGATATTCAACACTTTGTGAATTTTTCCCAGTTTTGTTTAAAAATCACGTTGAACCACCTGATTGTCCGTAAGAAAATATCGTGCTCCGGAGGGCATATTAAACCATCGGCCTCGATTGATGTCTAATAAACGCAGACGGTGGTTGTAACACTACCATAGCAGAGGTCTAATACTTGTAGAAGGTGGTTTAAAAACTCCGACAAAGATTTATCATTTCAGTTTTTTAGGCTGTTTAAAGCTCAGGAGCTCCATTTCTGAATTGTCGTAATCCAAATCCGTGCACGGAAATCTAAAACGAGTGGTCTAACCATTCGTATTACACGTTCTACTACTCGACACTTTAAATGTTAAGGGTTTGTGTGAATTTATTAGGTGTGCATAAATTAATAAGTTTAGTAGAACATGTGATACGAGCACAATTAGTAGCAGATTTTCGCACGATTAGGATTACGACAATTCAGAAATGGAGCTCCTGAGCTTTAAACAGCCTAAAAAACTGAAATGATAAATCTTTGTCGGAGTTTTTAAACCACCTACTACAAGTATTAGACCTCTGCTATGGTAGTGTTACGACCACCGTCTGCGTTTATTAGACATCAATCGAGGCCGATGGTTTAATATGCCTCGGAGCACGATATTTTCTTGCGGACTTTTCGGTTAGCTAATGAAACAGAGAACTCTGTTATGAAGTTTTTACGGATTATTCCATAGTGATTTTTTAAAGTAGATTACCATGAATGTTGAAAAAAATCCCTTTCCACCAAAATATTTTCTTGTTTTGGCGCTGTATTTTAAAAAAGAAGAGTATTTCTAACTAAACTTGTAACTAAAATGATTGTCCTATTCATTCACTATGAGATCATGTCAAAAAACTATGCATAAAACGGTTTGGCTAGCTTTCGCATGACTTTTAAAGTTGAAATCGGGAAATTTTCTTTAAAAAATCAAAAGTCCTAATAATTTTGTAACCAATCATTTCCGACCCCTGGTTCCATGGAAGAATATGTTGGAAATGGCCCCCCCTCTAACCACCTTCAGGGAATGCATCGAATTTCCAATCACCCTGTATAGGCCATAACCATAACAGCCACAACAGTCGACTGCTGGACATGGGCCTCCCCCTATCGGGGGGTATTGCCATACTCACCACGCTTGGCAGGCGGATTGGCGAGTGCAGTGCCAAGATGTTTGCATTTACAGGGAACGCTGCTGCCCATTCCCTGGATGAATATCCCTTAGTCGTTTTTTACGACACCCACGGGTAGAATTGGGGTGATGCTATTCTAAGCCGGCATCACACGGCGAGATATAGGCATTTGAATCAAATATCAGCCAAGTAAAAAAAAAACTCATCGGTTTTTTTTTACGGCATCCTTTATTGATACTAAACCTACCCTGAAGCTATGGCACGCATTTAAATTAACACCGTGTATTATCATTATATATAATAAAACTAAGTTGATAAAATGTACGTGCCGATAAAACTTAAAAAGGATTCCCGGTACGATAAAGGGACTTATATTGTGCAATAGCCCTTTATCTCCCCTCGAACAAGAAAGTCCCCGTTTTAACTTAAAGGGAGTATTTTTAAAGATATAAGGGTCTTTCCAATCCCTCAATAGTGGCGCCATCTGTTGTCGAGTAGTTGAACTCCATTCAGAACAACGATTATTTGAGTAAATGCAATGTACCTATTTCAAACTTTTTTATTAGACCAAAAAGCTAAATACCGCGAGTGAAACTGCGGGCGGAAAGCTAGTATACTATAAGGAGCCATAACTTGTGCCCATACATTAAAACCGGTACGACGGTTGACGATGATGATGTACTCACCGTGGTTCGTCGGCGACGTGCACGAATGCGTCGCTCAGCAGGGCTCGGCGGATAGTGTGCAGCATCGCCGACACCTCGCCCTGACATAACAAATATTCACTTAAAAAAACTGCCCAAGAGCGTGTCAGACACGCCCACAAATAGGGTTTCGTAGTCAACGTTTAAATATTAGGTCTTTCAGCGTTACAAAGTTAATTTTGTTGCTGGTTTGTTCGCAGCTGTATGGTTACCAACCGCAAATTGAAAAACTTTAATATTTCCTTAATCTTAAGTGGTACAGTATTCGTTATAGTTTTCATAGTAACTTCAGATTAAGAACTATATTCCATATATTTTTCAAATTTTTAGCACTATGTTCCATATTTTTTTCATATTTTTAGCATGCATACTTTAGAAGTTACAGCTGGAACAAATTATGGCTCAAAAACGCCTCTTTTGAAAGGAAATATCTCGAGACAGAAACATTTTAGAGACTTTGTTTCAAGGAAACCTCCCCTTAGTTTTAAAAGACCTATTCAACGATACCCTACTCAATATTACAGGTGGTTTTTTTTTTCAGATGTATGAGAAGGGGGTCCAAAAAACAATTAAAATATTTTTTTCTCAACATTTCTAAATTTTGGTCAACACAATCTATCTTCACACCAAATTTGATGTCGATAGCTTCAAAACTGACGAAGTTATGAGGGCGCGGCATACAGACAGACAGACAGACAGACAGACTTACCGAAATGATAAGGGTTTCTAGTAGACTACGAAACCCTAAAAACTGCCCAAGTGCGAGTAGGACTCACCCACCGAGGGTTTCGTACTAAGGTTTGACCGTAAATTCAACTTGGTAAACCTATATTTTACATGATACTCCACTTCGACAACTAGCCAAATTTTTAAAATGTTGTTCTTTTTCGGCCCCTATAAAAACAATACCTAAATTTATACTTCAAAATGAAGCTACTTGCCAAATTTCATTGTTCTAGGTCTACGGGAACTACCCTCTGCATATTGATTACCTTGAGAGGGTAAAAAACATGTGTTTTTACAGCATAAATGGCTATATCTTTTTTAACTTGAAGTTAGGAGCATAATTTTTTTACAACTACTAGTTAGCGACCATAGACTTGAGTATATGGTTTTAATTTCAACTCGATATCTTTATGCTTTCCTGAGGGTCTTGACAGACAGAGAGACGGACAACCAAGTGATCCTATAAGGGTTCCGTTTTTTACCTCATGAGGTACGGAACCCTATAAATTGAAAATGAAAATATTGAAAAATCCATTAGCGACCGCCGGGACCTTAACGTCGCTTCGAGACGAGCATCAAGAGGTTGAGGAATTCATCATCATCAGGGTCCGCCAGGCGCCCGTAGCTCAGTTGGCAGAGCGGTGGGACGGTACTCCGCGGTCCCGGGTTCAAGTCCCGGCGGTCGCTAATAAATTTTCCAATTTACCTACTCATTTTCAATTCATTAGAATAATATAGCACTGTGAGTGCATTAAAAATCCCAATACAAATATTCACTTGGTACACACATAAGGTTAAATACTAGGCCTGCCTGGAGCACTCCGCTGCGTAGGTATAAAGTTGTAAGCATGGTATAATAAGATACTCCGCCTGGTATTCCATTCCGAGACTCGTGAACCACGTGACTAACACAAGCCTACGTCATCATTCTTGTGGGTTACCAGAATTACCCACTCTTACGATGTTTTTTGTAAATCATTTATGATAAATACAATTTAAGTGTTGTTGTAAAGTTCAAGTTAATACACACGTAAATCTAAATTATAAAATTATTAAGAAATATTTTAGCTCATTTTTCTGAGATCTGGGGGCACGGCAGTGGGTAGGTAACAGACATCATCTTATAGTAACCATATCGATATTTAAAAACTTTAATATTCACAATAACTAGAATGACTTGGCAATCGCACACTATTTGCTTGTGAGATACGATGGTCTGGTGCGATGGCCATGTCATTCTAGTTATTGTAAATATAAAAGTTTTTAAATATCGATATGGTTACTATTAGATGATGTCTGTTACCTAATTACGCAATAGCTTAAGATGATAGTTCCCTGAAGGAGTCCTTGAAAAAACGAATAACCGACTTGGCATCACATGGATCTCACAACTTTTTACAGTAGAAGAACTGAGAGGCGAGACTTGGTTCTTTTTACAAGTGAATGTTTTTTGGTGGGATTGAATTTACCCCATGACGTATTTTATTGGAATTGTTCTAACTGTCTTATTTCTCTTGCATACGCTTCCACTAACTATAGACAGAATACTTTTATATGGCGAGCATCTAAAAATTTCAATCATCTTTCTAATCAGTTTGATCTCGATCTATTTAACACGAGTTGCGAGTCAGCGAGACGAGTTATTAATCAGTCGTTCTTTGGCGGTGATCGCCATGATTAGTAATACTAACTTGATAGTTTGTTATATTTTGTAACTTTGCATGTTTCTGAATCATTGCATTGTTTTATTCTTTTTCCTTGAATTGTAATTAACTTACGGAATTTAAATGTTTTTATGTAATGTGTGGTTTGTGTTGTTAGTGTCTCATGTGATTGCTTCATATTTTCTACATTAGTGTTTATCAGTGAAAACCTGTAATTGGCTTTCTGTTTTTACTATTGTAGTGTACAATGTTGTTAATAGCTGTTGGTTTTCCAAAATAAATAAAATAAAATAAAATAAAGTGTTTTATTAGACTCATAGTCTAATAAAACATAGTCTTACATTCCCAGAGAAACACAAGCCTACGTCACTAGTATTGCCACTTTATTTCAATAAAATACGTTATGGGGTAAATTCAATCTCAGAAAAATTAGTTAAAATATTTCTTAGTAATTTTATAATTTAGATTTACGTGTGTATTAACTTGAACTTAACAACAACACTTAAATTGTATTTATTATTTAACAGTATCATAAATGATTTACAAAAAACATCATAAGAGTGGGTAATTCTGGTAACCCACAAGCATGATGACGTAGGCTTGTGTTAGTCACGTGGTTCACGAGTCTCGGAATGGAATACCAGGCGGAGTATCTTATTATACCATGATTAGACTATGGTTGTAAGTACATGCGGCCGCCAGTTGGTTGCCGCGCGCTGCTCGTTACGCACACGCTCCGATGACGTTCGCATGCACAGATACTCTAAGCAAGGGAGATTTGAAATGGGGGCGTGGCCGGTGTAACATCAGTTTGGTCAATTTGTGCAAACTTCGTTTCTGGAGGTGATTGCCGTGCTCAGTCGCAGTTCAGTCGCGCACAACTTTTTTAATAAAATGCCGTGTACTACGGTGGCAGTTTGTTTTAATTAAAGTGATAAATGCAATTTCAATACCTATAGACTCGCATTACGTCGGTAAATAATAATTTGATTATGATTTTAAGTTAAAAAACTGAACACATATTCTGTTGTAAAAATTCTCTTAAATTCACCACGAGTCATAGCGATAGTCACAGCTCTATTAGCAAACGGTGTACAATGCTTAATTTGTACTACTGTTCTGCAAACGTCTAGTTTCAATAACGCAATGGACAGTGAACACATCAATAATCACAAAATAATGCAAGTCTCATATTACAGCCGCTTCTCGCCGTCGTGAGTAAGTGTTGTAGTAGGATTGTGTAGAGTATCGATAAAATTGTTAGTAAGTAGGTAAGTTACATGAAACATTATTTTGTGAAAGTGTTATGTATTTATCGAATCGAATAAAAGTCAATTAATTAAATAATATAAAATTAAAATAATTCTTGATCTTGCGATAATTGTAGTTAACATTAAAAACTTTCTATTGCGCTTAAAGAATTTAAATTTGCATACTTTAATAATTCATTTTATTGTAATATTTGTGTAAGATATCTTGGTCTGAGGTCGGTCTGAAACACTAATATTTCTTTGCATAATATAATTTACTCATTTGATTTTTGTTATAATAGTAGGTACACGTACTTTTTGGCTTTGCTGACTTTCGTACACAAAACAATTTTCTTTTGTTGTGTGTGCGAAAGAGAACACAAAAATCTATAGTCAATAACCAGTTTGGCCTGGCAATAAATTATGTACCTACAAACGGCGCCCGGCGCGCATACAGAAAATAACACAAAACCATTTACTTATAGGCATATATTCTGTGCATACCATGCACATTACCTCTTTAACCAATGTCTAATTTGTAGGTTCTCACAAGATTCCACCTACTATAAAAAGGAGTGGATCATTGCAACCAATAGAGGATCTAAATTTTCAAAAATCACCAAAAAAAATTTATCTAGATCACGAATTTTTCATTTTATCATTTTATTAACTTGCATTCTGACCTACGAATTTGAAAGCGTTGTTCTATCTATTAAGCACTTTATACAGTTCTTAATTTTTCTTACACCCCATTAAAACAAACCAACAACAGTCATAAAGTAGGTACAATTATGTCAATCTCTGTCACTACCCCCTGGATATCACGTACGATATCTAGGGGGGATATCACGTTGGATTTTAACAAAACCATTAGAAATCGCCCATGTCCAGCTGTAGGTAAATTTTTGAGATAGTTGATGTGAACGTGTAAACACTTGCAGTTTTATTATTTAAATACGTGAAGTTTATTAGGCAGTTAGACTTCCGCAGTATTTGAAACAATTATGAATATTTTAGATATCGACAATGACTCATCGACTGTCAATCACTAGCACTGTTAAGTGTTGTAAAGTGCGTAGTTACGCGCCGAAACAATTGTGTGCGTGCGTCTCGTCCTTGTCTTTGATTGGTCTAGTTTTGTGAATGTGCGCGTTAAACTTGCGTCCGTATTTCAATGTGCATGTAGGTGTGAATTTTTGTAGCGACATCGAGACTCGAACAAATTTCGCCCGGTAACCCATCTCCCTTGCTTAGAGTATCTGTGTTCGCATGTATAACTGACCTTCCTGTCTCATTCGTAAATTTTGTATAATAATGCAATTTTAATATTTTGGACGACAAAATGAACTCAATTTGTATAGGAGTTTTGTAAGCGTTGTACAGTTTGGTCATGCAGTCCTATACCGAAGTAAAGGGATTTGATTCCATATAAATTTCAACAGATGGCGTTACTGGTAGCGAATTTAACATTAGGTCCGAAACAACGGCAAAAATTATAGCAAAAAAGTATTGAAAAAATATAATTCCATTATTTGAGACGCCCGGAGACTAAAAAACGCGAAATTAGCACATTTTCGCAAGCACTAGAACAGCCCGCTTGTAGTGTCATCTGGCGAGCATTTAATGAAAACCACCATAGCCGGCCGGCAACCCCTTTTTGGGGCTATTGGTTTTTTAGTTTGACATAAGGTATCTGTAAACGTTAGTTTATTATAGTATTATCTGTGGCGTTCGTCACAGATAATATAATAAACTGTATAATATAATAAAAATATAATAAACGTTTACAGATACCTTATGTCAAACTAAAAACCAATAGCCCCAAAAAGGGGTTGCCGGCCGCTATGGTGGTTTTTGCGAAAATGTGCTAATTTCGCGTTTTTTAGTCTCCAGGCGTCTCAAATAATTGAATTATATTTTTTCAATACTTTTTTGCTATAATTTTTGCCTTTGTTTCGGACCTAATGTTAAATTCGCTATCAGTAACGCCATCTGTTGAAATTTATATGGAACCAAATCCCTTTACTTCGGTATAGGACTGCATGGTTTGGTTCATGTTCCGCGGGGCTTATACTAACGTGTGTCCGTGGTCCGGGTATGCGCAGCACGTAGTGCGTGTCGTGGGCCTGCCGCGCCTCGCACGCGCCGCACAGGTCGTAGTCCGAGCATTGCACGCAAGTGTAGCGGAAACTGCAACAAAGAAAACGATAATTCGCTACTTCACTGGGTCGTAAACAAAATACAAAAGTTCATCATCATCTTCCTGCCCTTATCCCAATTACTTGGGGTCGGCGCAACACGTTTTGTTGAACACAAAATCGTGTTGCAAAGGATTTGGCTTAATTTTACGACCGGCCGCCTACCAGACGTCAACCCTCCTTGGGAATGCTTTTGTGGTGAATTAACCGCCACCATACGGCTGGCCTTGGCTGTTTGGGTCGGGTTTATCCCTCGGTCGCCTCTTACGACCCCCACGGGAAGAGAAGGGGTGGTGCTATTCTACTCTGCCGGTACCACACGGCGGCACAAAATACAAAATACAATACAAAAGTTGTATTTTGATTTGATTTTGATTTGATTGGCACCGTCCCAGCCAGGCCGAAGCCAGTCCCCAGCAAGCTGTATAATACCGGGGGGTGCAGGTTTTGTTCAGGTGGGACACGCTCTGGGATAGGGGAGGAAGATCATCCAGATGCCTCCAAATGACCACATTCATCCGACTATACAGCCTTGAGACAAAATAGGATGTTGGGAAAGACGGGTAGATTCTAGA